CCATGTGCCTTACTGGACCTCCTTACTGCAAAGATATCCAAATGTAGGAACTCCTTCTCAGCTTGCCCTTTCAGAGTTGACGTGTTAAATTTGGCAGACAACATCAGCCTCACACATAAAGTACCCACTTTGTAACTGGCAGCGGGTGCCACGTCTCTCTTTTTTTTAGCAGCCATGTCTACTCTTCTGTTTGTGGTCTTTTCACTCCATAAAACAGTGTCTTATCCAACTCAATAAGAGCTGAAATAATGCCAAAGTTACTTAAAATCCAGATATTTGTTCTCTGAAATGCCTTTGGATAATTCTTTTGTAACTGGGTCACTGCTAGTTCAGTTCCTTTTGCAATCTGTTGCAACTGCAAAAAAGTGTTGCCAGTATTCCAAAAATCATATTAATTTTGTGATGTTGATAGCCAGATAAAAACACACTCTGAATACCCTACTATGGCTAATAACATGCGACATGCAATAAAAACATCCTGATTTGAATCCAAATGAAGATATGCTTGCAAACGGGAATTACTAACACCAACCAAAAAGGCTGAAGTTTGGGTATTGATTAATATTCTTCTCTTCTCAAATACCTGCCGTAGCTGTCGACGTGTGTGCACCTGGAAGGCATGACTGTGAGCAGGTCTGCGTGAGAGATGATCTGTTCTATACCTGTGACTGCCACCAAGGCTACACCCTGAATCCAGACAAGAAGACTTGCTCAAGTAAGAGCAGATTGCTGTTCCCTATCCCCCCATACCCTCCCCAGCTCAGTGCACGTATTGAAATAGCTCTCATTAGCAGGTTAGTATATTTGGATCTGTTTGAGAAACTTTCACATGCATTCAAGCGTTATAAGACAGTTCTATGTCACTCTGCCTTTTCCGTTTCGAGCAACATTCAGAGACATAAAGCACTTTATATGCAACAATGCTAGTAACTGCTTACCATTTGGTCTTTTTTTATCACCTTATAACTAAGGCCTTCACTGTATTTAAAAAACTGTAATTATGCAATATTCAGCAAATCCAGAACTGAGAAATAATTGAAGAGAGAAGAGCTGGGGTTAGTCACAGTCACGCACTCTGCAGTACTGTGGAAGCTGTGTACCACCATGCAGGAGACTGTTTGAGATGGCGTCCTCCCCTCCAGGCTGAATTTCATGTTGCTGTTTGTTTCTTTAGTTTCTCAGCTAACTTTGTGTTACAGTGAAAATGTAATTTTTAAAAAAATGTTTCTTTCCTTCCCTGTCTCCTTACTGTAAAGTTATTGTGTGCTGGAAACTTTTCATAGCATGCCTTTGGAGGTGATCTGGCGCTTCACATCTGGTAGGGTTAGGCAGCTGCAGTCAGAGTGAGCATAGACGGTACGAAGTCAGGACTGAGGGAGACCCCAGTAAGGCAATTAGTTCATCTTGCTGCTCCGAGGCAAGATCAGTTACATGTCTCGGTAGTTCCTGGTAAGATTCACATAGGATAGGCTCCCGGCATGGAAAAGCATTGCCATTGGGAAGCATTAAAAAATGTTACCTTGTTTTTGGGTAACTCTTTCTCCAAAATGCATTCTGTAGGAACTGATGTATGTGTACCAGGAACCCATGACTGTGAGCAGGTCTGTGTGAGTAATGGTGGATCCTATACCTGTGACTGCTATGAAGGCTTTACCTTAAATCCAGATGAGAAAACATGCTCAAGTAATAATTTAATGGGTTTTTTTCTGAATATATTTATTGAAGTACTTCTCTTTAATGCGTTAAATCCTTTTAATCTGTTTGAGAAACGTTACATTAACTCACTAACTCCCTGAAAGTATAATCCCTTTTCATTCTTTTCTGCCTGTTTCCACTAATGTGAGCTAGTTTGATCCTTCTTGTTTAGTTATAGCAGTTATTGTATTTAAAACTACAGTATTTTAAAAAAAAATCTGTTATAATCTGCATTTCCTTATGAAATGGGAATAATTGGGGGGATTGGCAAGGCAGGGTTCTGGGACATCTGTCTCTGGGGCATGGGACTCAGTTGCGTACCAGCATTTGGAGGATGGTGGGGGGCCAGAGGGGAACAGAACTGGCGTCAGAAGAACTTTTGCAATGCTAAACCACATGTTCTTGTCCACTCCTCCAAGCTGAGTGGGGCAGACATGAACTCACCAACTGCTTTCCCTTCACATGGGCAATAATGGCATCAACTGTTGGCAGAACCTCTGCACCATTTGATGTAGAATCATAAGTAAAGTTGAGTTGGAAGGGACCTCAAGAAGTACCTAGGCTGATCTTTGGTTCAGAGCAGGAATAACTTGCCATTACATCAAGTGGCTAAGGACCCTATGTAAGAGCAAAGTTATAAAATAGGTGGATATAGCCAAACACCATCTGCAAAAATAGTAATTTTTTGTAGGTCTGGACTTAAACACAGATGCAGTGTAAAAACACAAATCTAACATGTTTTGTATGACTTGTTGGGCATCCCAGTGGCACCGGGAGTGCCCAAGATTTTGAATATCAAATACTGGAAGACTAAATTTCACAGAAGGACTGTAGAAAACCTCAGGGTACCCTTGGGCAGTTGCCAAAGTTGGTTGGAAAAGTAATTTTGTTAAAACAGACATAATCCAAGGAGGATCAGTATCTGTCACTGGAGAATTTAAATGCGAACATGAAAACTTAACTGGCAGTTGGTTGGAAACTGACCACATTGGTGTGATATTTTGAACTGGCCTTCCTCCAGCTGAATCTTGAACAGCTCTTCTTTGTACATCAACCATAAAGCCTGTGGAATGTTCCAAAGAAGGGAGCTGAACAAATACAGGTTCAGTGGAATCAAGAAGACACCAGTTTCAACATTGGCTCTAAGAAAAATGAATTTCTGCACTGCTAGAAATGAATCTGTTCATAGATTTTTTTTCAGTGAAACACTGAATGAACCACCTTTTGAAATTGATATATTTCAGTCATTTTTCTGTAATTCAAGCAGCCATCAGTTTCCTTGCAAAATGGAAGTATCAATGGCATGATTGATAAGCAAAAAGAGAAACCAAAACAATTCAGAAAAAAAAGAGAAATTGCATCCAGGTATAATATTTCTATTGTTTTACTGTTATAATGCTCACATAATTTGTTTGGCATTGATCAGCTATGCATTTATATATCTACAGAAAAAAAAATTGAATAATCTGCTGTCGTTGCCTTTGCAAGCAACATAAAAACACATGTATAAAGTGACAGGTATTACACACAAGTAATCCTTCTTGATAACTTGTTGAAAGTGTATTTCATAATTGTAGACCCTCTTTTAAGGAGGCTCTGCCTTTGGAAGCTTATTATTCTGGTCTCAGACGTAGATGGTAATCTCACTACAGTAGCGGTGCTTCAGTAGCTGTTGATATGTTTGTTCCTAGCCTGCAGCAAGTGGTGCAGCTTGCCTTAACTCCTGTTTTCTTTATGGAGTAGGTGAGGTTGAATTGCCTTCCATGCAGCTAAGAACTCACAGCCATCAGCTGATGCCTGACGTATTATTATACAACAATCAAATTATCATCTCTGAGCCCTTTGTGATCACCCCTGGTTTTGTGGTGGATTATGGAGACAAAGGAATTTTTGAGGACAGCTGAGGCTCGGCCCTGGTAAGTCTGGAAGAGTGAGGGCAAGAGCTAGGAACAGATTTGATGGAATCACTGCAGAGTATGCCAACGCTTGCTTTCTCTTTCCTAAGAGACTGATTACTTCTCTGTCGTACTAACTGGCTCCTCTATTAATATTGCTGTGCCTTTCTACCAGATTTTAAATTCATTTGGGCCCATTTGAACATTGTTGTTCCCTCCATCCATATTCATGGGACATTGGAATGGACTTGTGTTCACACTTCTTGATGAATCGAAAATGATACTCCCTATGCATGCGTATTGCCAATGTTACAAACCAAGAGTACTTGTGAGGTGATACACATTGATGATTTAGCTGAACCTCTATTGCTTAGTATTTAAAATTAATACGTGTGTTCCTGCTTTCATTTTTGTATTGTTTACCAAGTGGTAAATTCAGTTCTTCCAATTCTAATCCCAAGCTGAGTCTTGGGTATCTAAATTCCACCCATATCTCAGAAACTGATGCAAACTGACCAATTTCTGATACTGACCAACTCTTTATGTGCCTAAAATCACTAGGTGCCTTCCTGCTTGGCTTGCAAAACTCCCTGGAGGCTTCACTTTGGACTTTAATGCATTCTCAGAAGTGCTGTGTTTGGAAGTTATGGCTACCCCAAATGCCATTACAATCCAGCTGTGACAGGGCAGCAAACCTTGATTTTATAGATAGATAGATTTAGATATAAGGAAGAGATCCTTTTCTATGAGGGTGGTGAGACACTGGAACAGGTTGCCCAGAGAAGCTGTGGATGCCCCATCATTGGAAGTGTTCAAGGTCAGGTTGGATGGGGCTTTGAGCAACCTGATCTAGTGAAAGATGTTCCTGCCCATGGCAGGGTGGCTGGACTAGATGATCTCTAAAGGTCCCTTCCAACCCAGACCATTCTGTGGTTCTATGATTCTTCTGAAGAGAAACCCAAGTTAGTCATTGCCTTAAATACAGCTTATTTTATAGATTCTGTTTACAGTGATGCCAGTGGCCTTCCTGTGTGGATAGTCTGATGGTCAAAGCACTATGTACAAGATGGAGACCTGGACTGCAGGTTCTTCTCAGTCTGCATCACTTGAACACACTCATTCTACTTCCCAGGGTGCCTTACATTTTGAGGTGGGGGATATTCTGGATGAGAAGGAGAGAGAACAGGCAAAGGGAAGATTCACTCTAGTCAGCAATTAGAGTTGATGGGGGAGGCTGGTTGGTCCCTGCACCCAGGCCTCTTTTTATTTTTTACTCAATAATGTCTAATTTAAAGAGTGCAGAGGATCCAGGTAGGTAGGCTAGGAACGCACTGCTCTGCCTCCTCCTCATTTAGAGTCAAGCTCTCTCTTGCCTGTCCTGTTTCTGGACTATGACACTTGTGCTTCTGGCTACACACTGGCCCCTGTTCACTGCCCTGGGTTGCAGTGCTTGCTGTAGTCTCACAGCGTGAGTTCAACTCCCGTTGCAGAATCAAGCATTTTCCTGGGATTTAAATGTTCGATAATTGTCATAAATATTCTAAATGCTGTTTTCTCTCTTAGGAGCCGTAACGAGCAGTCTTGTAACAACTGAAGAATCCTGTAAGTGTGAAGCCATAGCTGCCCTGCAGGACTCAGTCACCTCACGCCTTGAAGCTCTGTCCACAAAATATATCCTTTTTCTTACGCAATCTTCTGCATCCAGCTCTTTACTGGTATTTTAGAGGTAGCTGTTTTGATATAAGCCAGGGAAGGAACATCCCTCAAAACAGAAAGTATTTTCATGGTGATTGTAGAAATGTTATGGAGCAAAATCTTGGTCATTGCAAATACCATTATGCTTCCGCATTTCATTGAAGGGCTTTAGTATCAAGATACAGATAAAATGCACATGCTCACATCCCCTAGATTATATATGCTATGTTGAACATCAGGCATTGCTCTGTTCATAATTCTTCCAGATTACTGTTACTGTTATAGCAAATGCTCAGTTTTGAGCCTTCCTATTATGTCCCAAAGTTTTCAAAACAACTTCACAGGCAGTGTGACAACAGTCCCATTAGCTGCGGTATTCCTCTGCATCCCACCTCTGCAGGCAGGCGCTGTCCCAAGCAATTTTCATGCACCTTCTTCTTTTCCGTGAAAATGTGCTAGGCTGTTAATATCCAGCTGCTGGGAAATACGAAAACGGGAGAGCTGCGAGGCAGGGTGCCGAGGTTGGAGGCACTGGGCAAGCCTCGGGTCCACGGGACATCCGAGGTGCAGGCTGGCGGGTGCCAGCTACGCTGCGCGGGGATTTGCCAGCTTCATTTGCTGCAGTGCGGCGCCTGCGGCAGTGAAGAGAAATGTGGTCAGCCCCCGGATTAGACATTTCACAAACGTGGGAGAGAAAAAAAACAACAAAAAAAAGAGAAAGTGGTGAACTCTGTGGTACCACAGCAAACCTGAATGCTGGAATAAATGCCCTCAGATGGCATGGCAGGAACTAATAACTGGAAGTTAAAGTTGGGCAAGCTGTGATTCTACATAAGGCACAATTTTTAGAACTGAGAGTGGTAGATCACTGTGACAATTTACCAAGATTTTCGTTGCTGGAAATTTTTGAGACTACGTGCTTTTTTCTGTAAAAGGTGCTCCTGTTCAAATAGTAATTGATTTAGGGGAGTACTTTATACAAAGAACTGACGCTTTCTTTCAGAGTTATTCTTTGGTGGGCAATTTGTATCCCTAGCGTCCTTTCAAGACAACCTGGAAAAAGCAGCAGAGACAATCACTTGCTCCTCAGCCCTGAATGTCACTTGGCCCAACCCCTTCTAAGAAATTAGGGTTGTTGAGATCATTTGGGAAGTGGCCAGACCTTGACAGATCTCTAAAATGTTTTGAAATCTCAGGTTCAAGAATGTATTGACCTCATTTAGAAAACAGACTGTTTGTTGAAAACGCAGCAATGAGAAAGATTATAAATAAACCAAACCTTATAGCCATCTGTTATATTGCTCTTAACAGCTGACCACTAGATGAAGTGTCTGAGAAGCTGCAGGCGTATCAAGGCAGACAGCAGGTTGTCTGAGCTATCATTCTACTTAATTTTAAAATAATCTTTCAGAAGCAATCCTTTTTATTGTGTTCCGCAAGCTTTATTTTGTTGCACAGCTTACAATACGGCAGTTGGTTTGTTACTGTTGACAAACATCAAGAAGACTTCAGGAAGACAACAGTCTTGAAAATACAGTGACCCTGAGGATCTTCATGTACAGTCACTTTATAGCCATAAAGCTACCTATACCTGCTGTGCTTCAGTTTGTACTACAAGTAGTACAGCAGGTACTGCTTTTCTGAAGTAACTGCATTTTTATTCTCTAATTTAAAAGTAAATCCAGAAAAAATGAATGGATACAGTATATCACATTATATAAAACTGTGAAATGGCAAGGCAGAGTAGAAAATGTGCCGATGTCATCCGTCCATTAAATGGGAAGGTAATTTGGGGTCTTGTAACTTATTTTAATAAAATAAAGTATGAACAGCACACTAATGTTGGAAGTTTTTTTGTATACAACTTAAAGAATGTGTGTTACGAAATAAAGTGTTTAACAAAAACAAGGAAACAAAACCTCACAAGATAAAGGAGGCATAAATGGAAAAAATCCACATAATTAAACAGGATACTATCCCCAAGTCACATAGTTGGAAAAAGAACCATTTGATTTTAAAACCTACAAGTCCTTGTTAATACAGATAAAAAGTTTAATAGTAATTTCAAGTATTAATAATGTTGTTTAACACTCAGAAGGATGAAAGACGTCCTCCAATTTAAGGTTTTTTATCCTGCAAGATTTACTTACAGTATTAGTCAGTCATTCTTGTTGTCGTACCGCGGACTTTACTGGGACTACTTGTGTCAATTGGGCTTGTAAGATAAAACACACAAGCTAACAATTTAAAAACCTAATTGTTGAAGGCATCCACTCGTTTTGCACACTTGGCATTTGTAATCATCCAAATGTTTTAGAAACTATATTTAAATAAATCTGAAGATGGAGTCAAAACTATGATGATTATTCTTTTTTTTTTTTTAGAATTGAAAAATCCAAAATATTTTGTAGAGCTTTGCAATATAATTACACAAAATATTATATCAGTAGCTGGTATGCCAAGGACATATTATAACGACATCTGTGCTTGCTTCATACCCTGCACATAATAGATACAAACAATTGCAAGGAAAATCGGTGGGCAGAAGTTCAGTTCTCATGTTCACTGCACATCCCAGTGAGACTTCAGATACTTCTATACAGTAATGTTAAGTTAGAATATAATACTAAGTAGCACAGGTGAACATGGAACACAGCTTCAGCAAGGGCTAAAAATGAGACTATAAACTCTCCAAGACTGCTGGATTGGTCTGTGGTTGATATTTTGTGATGTGTCCCCACTGATATTAATTTGCTGTAGTTCAATTATAGTTAGTGTGGGACAACCTAGCTATGCTACACTTGCTTCCTCAAAGTGCTGTGTATGTGTATTTTTTCTGTAAGTCATGGAGTTTTATATCCAGCACTTTGCTTACTTTCATGTCCTTTGCTTAGACATGGGTATTATATAAGGATTTATAGGGCCAGAAGTATGCCTTGGCCTCCGTACTTGGTAAGAATAAACAAGTTGTAAATCTAATGCAAGACTTCTCAACTTCTTGGCAATTGGGAGTGGATGACATCAGTCCCATTTATACTAAGGCCAGTTGTCAGATGAGATGTACAATTTTATACGACAGTGGAAAATTGTCCTGGAGGCCAGATGTGTCTTGCAAGCTGTCAGCTGGGCAGGCTTTGTTTCATGCATTAGTATTCATAACTCCATTTTACGTTACAAATGATAGTATTTACATTCAACTCCTCTGAGCAATTATCTTGTCTCACTTTGTGAGCACCAGATAAAATTCCAAAGTGATATAAGCAATTTCTTTAAAATAGGACACACCAGCATGTCCTATTGACTGAACATTTTTTTTTTAAATATAGATGTACTTGTTGATATGGAATGAGTAATTATACTGTTTTACTTATTGGAGCAGTAGAACGTTAAGACTAATGCAGAGAACTGTTATGAAAAGAACTAAATTTAATCTTTTGGATGGTATTTTAAAATTATTTGTATTCTGCTTAGAATAGAATAGAATAGAATAGAATAAGATTCTATGATTTCAGTCAGAAGGGACCTACAACAATCATCTAGTCCAACTGCCTGACCACAAGCATTTTCTAAATTACCTTTAGCAATCTTATTCAGCTCTAAGATGCTTACAGGGGTTCAGCCAGCTTTGCTTTATAGTTCTTGTATAGTATGTGCTTCTAAGTTGACATCAGTCAAAAAGCTGGCTGCCCAGCGCTCCTCACTGTTCCATGTTCATGTAACTTCAATGCAATGGTGTGACGATAACCTGACGTGGCTGGTTCTATATCTCCTTTCCAGCCAGCCTCTCTGAGAAGAGGGGAATGTGCTAAACTTGACAAGACACAGGTTTGAGAACTTGGCTTCGTCATGATCCTCCTTTGACATTGAACAAATTGCTTATATTTCAGTGTTTGTGTTGTGGATAATTGCACTGTGGAGTGCTTAGCGGCTATGAAAGCGAGGGGGATGCCCTGGGAGACACGGCACTTCTATTCCTCCTGTGTCAAGCAGGCAAGTTTTTAAAGCAGGATGCAGAAGACTGAGGAGAGACCGTCTTCTGTACATCTCCCGTGTTCCCCTTTTCTGTCGATCAGCTATGAAACAGCTTCGGTATGGAAAATATTCATTTTGCAGCCGGGTCCAACCTAGCTTGGAGGCAGTGCTGCAGAGCCAGGCTGCTCCTGAAGCCCCCTGCACCCCTCGTGCGGGCACAAATCCAGGCTTGATCCTTCACCCTGCCCTCTGCACTGCCCAGCGTCCAAGAGCTTCGTAACAGCGGCCATGGGGCTTGCTTACCCTCTAACCCACTGAATCCAGGCATTATTCAGCTGTGTATGAGCGACTGACTGACCAGACCTGGCTGTGGGTGCCAGCAGCACCTGCTGAGGGAGCGGGGACGGCGTCCAACGCCTGCGGCCTCAGTTACCTCAGTGAACAGTTAACGCCTGGGGCAACTCTGAGGTTGGGGTGACTCTGGGGATGTGCTGGTGTAAGTTACACTAAAGCCGCTGTGTGCAAACACTTTGGCACTCGCAAGCTTTCACGTTTCCCGTCATGCATAAGCAGAGCGACCTTTATGAAGGAATTACCAGTGCTTTCTACCCAAGTTGAGTATGACCCTTAACGCGCTGCCCGCCGCTGTGCCGGGGTGCCCAGCGTCCAAGAGCTTCGTAACAGCGGCCATGGGGGCTTGCTTACCTCTAACCCACTGAATCCAGGCATTATTCAGCTGTGTATGAGCGACTGACTGACCAGACCTGGCTGTGGGTGCCAGCAGCACCTGCTGAGGGAGCGGGGACGGCGTCCAACGCCTGCGGCCTCAGTTACCTCAGTGAACAGTTAACGCCTGGGGCAACTCTGAGGTTGGGGTGACTCTGGGGATGTGCTGGTGTAAGTTACACTAAAGCCGCTGTGTGCAAACACTTTGGCACTCGCAAGCTTTCACGTTTCCCGTCATGCATAAGCAGAGCGACCTTTATGAAGGAATTACCAGTGCTTTCTACCCAAGTTGAGTATGGCCCTT